AATCAATGTTGTTACTTATCAAACATTAAAAAAATGTATGTCATTACATTCAGTTGACAAGTCTGAATGAAAAAAAGAACGTGATCAATGATGATGATTATGAATTTGATTGGTATTCACTGAGTTATTTATTTATTGAATAAATGACCTATTTATAATGTATGAATCTTATGTCATTGTTATCTCTTATTATTGTTCTAATCTAATCTAATCTAATCTAATCTATAATCTCTGCAATATTAACTCATTCGTGTGTAAGTAGTATGTTGTTGTAAAAATCTGAGAAATATGACATAATTTCAAAAAAAAAGTGTATATTGTTACTGTTTGAAATGATCATCACAGTATCTATTATTGATTATCATTCTTGATTTTTATCAACGTTAGTAGTTTATATTATTACATAGGTAGGTAGGTAGGTAGGTAGGTAGATAGGTGTGTTCTTTCAAATGAATGAATGAAATAAGAAAAACGCGGTCAATTGAAATTCAAACGAAATGACCTTGACAGTTGAACATTGATCACACATAGTCAAACGTTTGTTTTTTTTATGCGGTTCTTTTCAATTAGATTCATCAGAATCCATGTGATGATAATTTGATGACCTTGATCATACAAACAAAAATCACTGATAGATTATTCTTTGCTAGTCTAGAGGTGTTTAACTGACCTAAATGTGTTGTTGTTTTGAAGAAAAATAAATAAATTCTTTGGTATATATATGTATTTTTTAAAATTGATTGTTTATAAGGAAGGTTAAATAAAACTGTGATGTGAAATAATTATTCAACTCAGTTCATGTCACACCATAGATTTCTACTTGAAATCACGAAATGACTGTAGCTAGATCACTAATGGTAACTTAGAAGGACTAGATAGCCGTGTCGTTGAAATAAAAAGGACTGACTCCTTAGAAGTGTGTATCCACGACCCCCACACGCAGGAATCGAACACAGGATCTCAACATATAAACCATTTGACCGAGGTACTAAAGGTCTTGGATTTAACGCCCGATCTCAAGGCTGACGATTCTCACTGCTAAGAAATTTCACACTTCAACGAAGTGACTGTCTACTTCTTCCAGGTTTTCAGAGGTTGTCTAATTTAGATAGGTAGGTTATGGTGGTGTTTCGTTCTCTGAGCTGGGTATTTTGGTTGTGAAGCTTTCATTGTTCTTCTGAACAACATCATCAGCACAAACTTCAGATAGAAGTTTGGTATCTGAAGTTTTTGCTGACGATGTTGTTCAGAAGAACAATGAAAGCTTCATAACCGAAACTCATCCAGCTCAGAGAACCAAACACCACCACCACCACAATCATCCACCTGAGCTACAAATTTTCTCCACCAGAGGGTGGTTACCTTTATTAAAGTACATTATGCATTATGGGATAGTGGAAATTGTTCACAGTTACTTCACGTGATATTTTTCTTTAAATTAGAAAAGAATCCCTAGTTGATGTTTGTTGTTAAGGTATCTATCACATGTTTTTAAATTTTCAATATAAGCAGTGCCCATTGAAGACAGTAAGTGAATGATGAGGCGTGAGATTGTAGATTGATCGAAGTCAAACATTAACATCGTTAGGAAACCGGCTCAGTGGTCCAGATGTCTAGGCGTTCTCACCCGAGACCCGATATCCCGGGTTCGAGTCCTGCGAAGTACAAGGGTCATGGATGTGCATTGCTGATTTCATCCCATACCATGAAGAAACAACGGTCTTTCAGTGCTTTCAACGTTTCTGATGCTGGTCTAACATTAGTCAATTCATGATTGAATAAAATACACAAATATATATTTACACCTACATATCATTCTATATATCTCAATGATCATTTTCATTTGACTTTGGCGCCTTGATGCGTGCGCCGCACATGTTGTTTAATCATGATGGTGTTAATATGGTAGAAACAGTTTCATTCAATACATTATTTATTTTTCTATGTTTTACAATAAAAAAAAACAGCTAGAAATTTGCACTTGTCAATTTGTTTATACCCCTTCCCCCCCCCCGAAAAAAAATTTTTTTCTCACCAAATAATGAAAATAAATCAAAAAGTAATAACTGTCATTTATGTATTTATTTTTCCCTCCTTTTTTTCGCCTGTAATTCAAACAAAATATCAACAGTGAACATTGAACATTGGTCAATTGTATTAAAAAATGCCTGTGGCATATCTATAATAGATCTTATCATCCAAACTACTATACAAAGTATGCATGCATGTATGATGATCATCACAATAATGGTTGCTGTGGCTTAGTTTTACATTGATAAAAAACACCGTATGTCTGTCTGTTTGTCTGTCTGTATGTATGTATGTAAATGTGTCAGCGTGTAACTAAATCTGTGGATATGAATGAACACCTCATTCAAAATTTCTATATTATCAAACATAACACGCCTGTGCATAATAATACACTTACTTACACGTCTAGTTAGTTAGTTAGTATGATAACAGTTTGGTTTATGACCGCCACCTACTTTCACTCGTGATGAAAAGTATAAATCTTTGAAAGTACAACAAAAAAACTCTTAAGGATTATTACACTTATGAGAGAGAGAAAAAAACAAAACAAATTGAATCTTGAAACATGATATGATTACATTATTTGTTATTTGTTTCATGTTGCCATGTTATCAGTGTTTTGTTTTATTATTACGATTATTTACTATTAGAAATGAAAAAAAAAACATGAAATAACATATATTATACATACAAACAAACGTACATAGATTCAATAAAATTATTGAACATTGACCAATGACCAGTAAACATTGAACATTGGACACTGATAATAATCAGTGCAGTAATTTATGATCTGTTTTTTGTTTTATTTTGTTTTATTTTGTCATTTCAATGAAATTATCCACCATATAGGCTAAATAGCAATTGGTAACTAGGATTCGTTTTGTTATAAATCAATTCTGTCTACTACACCATACATGTAAAATAGAAACTATATTGTACATAATATGGGTTTTCCTAGAGTAGATAAGAGTTTACAATTGAAATTTGAATTTTTTCTTTTTTTCAGACAAATAAAAAAATTTTTTTCATTACAAAAAACACAATGGTGTACCACTTATCTTAGGGTACTTATCTTAGGACAGATACAACACAGAACTTCGTACGTAAGTACATTAGTTCAGGTTGCCATGCCCCATTAGCACACAGAGGCAATTCTGTCAGTTCAAATCCTACAGTGATAGCAATAATTGAAGTAATGGAGAAGTAATGGAGAAGATTAGGGAGCGAAGATATGATTCGAGAAGTATAATCCAGTAAGATAAATTTAGAAGGAGAAAGATAGAGATTAAGAGGAATGCAGAAGCTTAGAATTTTATAGAACACAAAGAGTGGATGCACCTGCGCCATTGCAAACGATTCTGAGCTATGTCATTCAAGGTCTCTAACTATTGGTGACTTTCGTCTCGCGAACCCCAACCAGATAGCCTACATCTACCAACATGACTCAGTTCACTTGTCAGTGACTTCATGGATTTGTGTCATGTTTTGGTTTGGCCGCCCCTAACTTTCTTCCAACCTACTCCTACACCACAAAACATAGCTCGTTGAGGCAGTCGGTGGTTAGCCATACGTAACACATGTCCCAACCACCTCAACTGATGAAGTTTCACTACTCCATCTATTGATTTGCCATCCCTACCTAGAACTCGTTTCCTAACGACAGCATTGCTTAATCAGTCGTTCCAGGATACACCGATGATCGAAGACTAGTAACCTACGAATGTCCTCTACTCTTAACGGCCACGTTTCGCATCCGTATAGTGTATATATATATATATATATATATATATATATATATATATGTACTGTTTTCGGTATACCTAATTTTGGTTCTGTTCGCAATGTGTTATAACAAATCCAACTTATCATAGTGACGAAATTTTTTCATGAATTTTTGACAATAATAAAAAATCACAAACTTGTTTTCCTTTGTTTTTCTTTTTTACATGATAGTTATTATCATGTAAATGTGTGAACAATTTTTTTTCCAAAGACTAAAATGTGCGTTGATACTGGGGCAGAGTATTAAGAGATGGACAGATTGTGACAGATTGATTGCCATTTAGTGAGTTTATCATTGAAAATAAGAGAGAGAGAGAGAAGGTATTGAAATGATGTTAGACCAGCGCATTAGAAACCGAGAAGCACTGGAAGGCCGTTTCATTCTGGTATAGGATGAAATCAGCAGTGCGCAATTCACGACTCCTACTACTCGCAGGAATTGAACTCAGGACCTTCGAAGTATAGGATCCATACTGATGTTTGGATTGAGGATATTCTATCCCTCCTGGATAGATCAGATTCGTTCGACAGATAATATTTGGTTGCTTTATAATACAGAGTGCTTCTTATTCTGGAAGGGTGCTTCGATTCACAATCAAAATGTACAATTCCAGTGAATGCAAGCGACACAATCTATGGCTGTCGCCATGACTATCATCTTAAACAACATACATGCACTTCAGAAAGAAACATAGAAACTCAATAAAGGCACACGAAATAGAAACTATAATAAAATACAAATATTATCATCCCCAAAATAGAATCAAACAGATTAACCAAATGTACAACTAAAGGAACCAATAAGGACAAATTACAAATGTATGTATACATGGAGGGATTTTCACAAACAAAGCCTTCAAAAAATGAATCTTACATGAACTACCGAACCGGTATCTAACGGTGTTAATCTCTAAGTTCCTATCAGTCTACAGTCTACTTCACACCTGAACAGGGTTAAATTCCACTAGCATTCACTTCTCATTGGAACCTAGAGAAACTTCTTCATGGAGAATTAGATCTTCGCTGCTAATAAGTTCCATACCAGGATGAAAAGGCTGTTCAGTGATTCTAGGTTTTTAATGTTGGCCTAACGTTAATCGATTCACGATTTCAAAGTATCCCCATCATGCTTAGTTAATTCTTATCGTTATTCCTTTTCATCTTTTTTTTTTTCAAATTTTCAGTCGAATGTTTCCATCATTCAAAGTTCGTGTCACTGGTTTAGATAGAAATGCCAAATATATTATGCTATTAGATATTGTATCACGTGATGAACATCGTTATAAATTTCAAAATGGTAAATGGACAATTGCTGGAAAAGCTGATCCGGAACCATGTCGTAAACCGTATATTCATCCTGATAGTCCAACAACCGGTGAAGAATGGATGCATAAACCAATTTCATTTCATAAATTAAAATTAACTAATAATGTAGCTGAAAGACAATCATTTGTAAGTGATGGGTGGCTTGACTTGTTTTTAAACAAAAGTTTCTATGATCAAAACGATTACATTTTTTATAGTGTTCATTTTGATTGAAAGAACGAATTGTATTCTGTGATTATTTGTAGTAGATGAAAAACCTAGGACTTACTTACGCAGCTTACTTACTTACTGACTGACTGACGACAGTTTATTAAAAGGGGGGACGAGTGTGGTGCGCGCTACTTATAAGTAGTAAATGACGCGAGTGTAAACGCAATGTCTGGCAGCAGAAGATGAGGGAAGATCAAGTGAAAGGAAGAAGAGTGGGAACACAATGGAATTTGTATGAAATAGCATGAATAGTGAGTGAAATGTCAGACAATGGATTGATGATGGATTGAAGATTTGCAAATTAACGATTTACGACATGGTTTTCCTATTTTACTGAGTAACTCTGTAATTTTCGCTAAATACAATTCGGTTGCCTTCACCTGTGTTCTCCTTCACTACACTTATAATAATTAGACTCGAATTATAGAGAATGAAACAGAGAAACAGACAAACAGAGTAATTAAGAGAATATATTCCTTTTTTCTGAATTAAGCTTACATTTTATTGTGTTAGTAGTCGAATTCGAATGACTGACTATTCTCTACAATCCGTATGTTCATAAAACTTTCAACCATGTTGTCTGTTGGGGACGTTCGTTGTCCTGAACTCATTTGGGAAAAGGTCTTGATTTGGAAATTTTTTATGTTTTCATGCATAAGTTACCTAGTTGGCCTTCAGCTTACATTTTCCACTCGCAAAATCCTTGACTGTCATTGGTGTGCTATTTTGTGTCTGTTCCAGAAGCGTTTCTATCATTGTATAAATAAGCTCGATTTGTGTGCTTGCCGGCCTCGTATTTTCTGGTTGCTTGTAGAATACACTTTCTACGCCTTATCAAGACTTATTGATATATAGTTAGCCGGGCTGGGGATATTGGGTTCGTCACTAAGTATGCTTGAGGCTATTACGAGTTCACCTTAGTCGATAAACGCGAACGAGACGATGAACCGGCGTCCAGATAGGCTACCTTGAATCCAAACGGTAAAACAGAAGTCTTGGTAAGCGTAGAAAGTATATCCCACAAACATTCAGCAATCACAGAACAATAAAGAATACAAGTCTCGTTTATTTATACATCATAGAAACGTCCTTGGGACAGTTAAGAAAATAGCACACTAAAATACACAGCAGCCAATCACAGCCATGGATTTTCCTGGTGTTAAATGAAATCTCAAGGTCAACTGATCAGCCCATGCTGGCAAACGTAGAATGCAAAATAAGGCATTTAACAAGCGAGTTTTCGGGATCTAACATCCCCAACAGGGGACAAATGGATTAGAATAGCCTATCGTGTCACTGCATCATTTGTCTTCGCTCTCTCGCTTACCGATTAGGGTGAGCTCGTAATATAGCATTCAAGCATATCACAATTAACGAGCATATCATTATCTATTTATACTTTCAAAATAAAATAATACTCCTCGTTATATAGTGAATTTTTTAACGTTTCACATTGAAATCAGCTGTTCAATTGTTTAGTCTTGTACAAATACAGTACAATATCTCATAACTAACTGATTTCAATGAAAAAATATATTTCCACAGTTTCAATCATGAACTGATCTTAATTTGATACCGATACTTTAAACTTTTAAGTATTAGACAACAGTTTTATCCTAATTTGGTATTCCACACCAGTGTCTACTCTCGATCGAACAGCTAGAACTCAAACCTACGACCTTCAGTCTTTTATGTAAATTTTCATTAGGGTTTGTGGATACTGATGAGCTACTTAGTGAAATCATGAATCGATCAATGTTAGACCATAATTAGAAACCCGAAAAAACTGGACGGCCGTTTCGTCCTGGTATGTGACTCATCGGCAATGCGCATCCACAAATCCTACACCTCGCAGGGTTCGAATCCTAGGAATTCGGTCTTGTGAGCGAAAGCTTAACCTCTGGACCATTGAGCCGGTATCTAATGGTGTTAATATATCTAACTTTATATTTATTGATTTTATATTCTCATACAAAATAAAAATATCTATGAAAATATTTTAAATTTTTTTTCTTTATAAATATTTTAGCAAGCTGTGCTCAATTCAATGCATAAATATATACCAAGATTTCATATTGTCCGCGCTGATCATTTAAACAAAATCAATATGGCGAATTTCGTTACATTTATTTTTGATGAAACAGAATTCATTGCTGTCACTGCTTATCAGAATGAACGAGTAAGTTCAACTATTTGTGTTTACTTGTTGTTAACTGTTATTGATAGTTAATCGAATGCAAACTTGACAATGTATATGATATTTTTTTAAAAGTAGTGATAGGTAGCTAATAGGAGATCTTTCGTCTAAGTAGTTTGTTGACCAAAGGTCGAGTGTAATGTGCAGTAGTTCGCTATGTTCTCCTTTACGGATGCGAAACATGGCCGTTAAGAGTAGAGGACTTTCGTAGGTTACTAGTCTTCGATCATTGATGTCTCCGAAGCATTGCTCGTGTATCCTAGGACGACCGAGTAAGCAATGCTGTTGTTAGGAAACGAGTTCTAGGTAGGGATGGCAAATCAGTAGATGAAGTAGTGAAACTTCATCAGTTGAGGTGGTTGGGACATGTGTTACATATGTCTAACCACTGAATGCCTCGACGAGCTATGTTTTGCAGCGTAGAAGTAGGTTGGGAGAAAGCTAGGGGCGGCCAGACCAAAACATGGCACAAATCCATGAAGTCACTGACGAGTGGACTAAGTCATGTTGGTAGATGTCAACTACCTGGTTGGGGTCCGCGAGACAGAAGTCACAGATGATTAGAGACCTTGAATGATATATCTGAGAATCATTTGCAATGGCGCAGGTGCATTCATTTATTGTGTTCTCTCAAATCCTAATCTTCTGGATTCTTCCACCCCTCCAGTTTTGTCTTTCTAAACTTATCTCACTTGAATATCATATTCAAATCCTAATCTCTCTGATTACTGCTAATGCTTCTACTTCCTCTACTAATATGGGATTTAAAGAGACAGTTTCTTTTCTTTGCTAATATGGAATGGCAACTTTAACTGATGTACTTACTTACTTACGAAGTTCTACGTTGTAGCTGATTGATTGACTGACTGACTGACTGGTCAATCATTGCCTTGTAAGAAAGTATTTTTTGCTGCTTGTTGGTTACTTGGTTTCTTAACTATAAAACAATACTTCAGTAAGCTCTTCAAGCTATGACTGATAATTCTGTTAAAGATGGGGATACTTATCACTGGTCGTTCATTGAGTTATGACTAGTGCAAGGTTTTTTTAAATCCTTATATTATCTTGGCTAAAGTCTACCACTACAGTTGTGGTTTGTGGTTGCTGGCATTGTACTCCAAAAAGATTTTGATGTGTTTCTTTTAAACCATTCTCGTTTATTTCTTTTTTACAAACATTGTTATCTTGTGAATTTATATTTTTTATACCCTTTGAGCGCCATTTCATAATAAATATTCTTCTTAAATCATCAATCAATCATTGTTAGACCATCATTAGAAACCCACAAGCCGTCAAGTCCTGGTATGGGACTCATCAGTGGCAGTGTGCATTCACGACTCCTGCTCCTCACAGGATTCGAACTCAGGGGACCTTCGGTATTGTGCGCAGACGCCTAACCATCGGACCACTGAGCCGGCATCCAACGGTGTGAATGTTTAACTCTCACTGATCGACGGATGTTTGCGCCACCTCACCCATTTGTCTTTGGTAGGTGACTGCCTACACCTGACAGGGTTGAACTCCATTGGTCACCTCTTGATGATTTCAAATGTGTAAAAACACAAACCTCTAACACTCTGCCCCAAAATATCGTAACAATGCTCACTAGTGACTAGCTTCGTGAGGAAATTCTCGGAGTTCCAGTGAGAAGACATTGTGATCAATGGAGTTCAACCCTGTCGGGTGTAGGCAGTAACTACCAAAGACAAATAAGTGAGGTCGCACAAACATCCGTAGATCAATCAGAGTTAGACAATAACACCGTTGGATGCCAGCCCAGTGGTCCGATGGTAAGGCGTTCGCCTACAATGCCGAAGGTCCCGTGTTCGAATCCTGCGAGAAGCAGGAGTCGTGGATGCGCACTGCTAATGAGTAATCCCAAACCAGGACTTGACGGCCGTCTTTCAGTGTTTCCAGGTTTCTAATGGTGTGGTCTAAAAATGACTGATTGATGATTTCAAATGTGTAAAAACTCAAACCTCCAAGACTCTGCCCCAAAATATTCTTCTTAAGTTACAATTAATAGTACTTTATCAATGCTTGGTTGATATTCATTGGTGGTATACTTTCATTTATGTTCTATATATTTCATCTTTCTTTTGTTTAAATTAAAATCCAAAAAAAATGAAACATTGATCATTGAATTTCATTGTTCAGTAATGAATGACACTTTTTTAAAAAAAGAACGTTAGAAACAACAATGAACACCTGTTTCCTTTTTCACTTAAGATTTTCATGGTAAATTGGAATGAAAGAGATATGAGAAATAAATTTCATGTTTTTTTGAAATTAAAAACAGAATGAATATTGACACCGTTTAACACAATACATTTTTTTTAAAAAAAAGTTGTATATTGGCCATTGAACAATTGATCATTGATAATTTTATCTCATTAAATTTGCCTCCAAATTCATTTTGAATATCATGATATCTCTTCAAAAATGTGTAACTTAACAATCTTCACAACTCCGTATTACAAATTACTTGTGCTCATGAGTGACTACCTTGGTGAGGAATCTTCTAAGAGTTCTAGTGGGAAGACGTGACCAGTGAAGTTCAACCTGTTCGGGTGTAGACAGTAACTACTACCGAAGACTGTGTATGAGGTTGCGCAACTCCGTGAATTTGATCAAGTTAGATTGGTCATTAAGTAATAACTAATGTTATGCATCTGTAATCGTCAAACAAAGATAGTCAACTCCTTTCGATATCATGTTACAGTGTGGTCATTCATTAAAGTGACTTAAATATTTTAATATTTTAGTAGTTGGAAGGAACTAAATCATTTTTAATGAAAGTTTCATATTGAATAGGATTTGAATCTGTGTTCAGTTCAATTAGTAACTGATTTTCTACTTTTTGTAATTTTGTCCAGCATGATACAGTTGTCAGAGTATTTCAACTATTTTTTTTTGAAAATCGATATACAGCTGCTTCTTATATGACGGAGTAAATGATTTTAGGGACAACTGGTTCTCTAAGCTAATTAATTAGTTCATTCGTGAAGGTTTCATCATTTCTTCTAAACAACATCATCAGCATTAATTTCCCAGATCGAAATGAGTTATTCTTATTTCTTCATCCAACTTATGCATAGGAGCATGTAGGAGCTGAAAATCGAGACAATGAGGAAAATGTTGTAAATAAAATTACAACTAACAATTAAGGAATTAAGATTAACAACAACCAATCAAGATTATGGTTGACAAGATAAGCTGGCAAGTTGAATAGCTTACTTCCAGTCGAAATGTGTGTTGAAGAACAATCAAAACTTCACAATTAAAACATTCAACTAGGGAGAGAGAAACTTGACAATGATGACCGAAATTCAAGGTGTCATTGTAATAGTAATAATACTATAAACTAGTTGTTTATTTCTTTGAAATCATGAACCAATCATCATAAGCCAACTATTAGAAGCCTACAAGCACTGGACGTGCATTTCGTCCTGGTATGGAACTCATCAGTAGTGCGTGCGCATGCGCGACTCCTGTTACTCGTAGGATTGGAACCTAAGATCTCCGATCTTTCACACGAATGTCTAACGTCTAGACCAGTAAGCCAGCATCTAACGATCTGAATGTCTAACACTGATCAATCTTAAGATTTCGCACAAACTCATCCATTTGTCTTTGGTAGGTGACTGCCTACACCCCACAGGGTTGAACTCCATTGGTCACAATGTCTTCTCAAGTAGAACTCCGAAAATTTCCTCACGAAACTAGCTAGTCACTAGTGAGCAATGTTACGATATTTTGGGGGCAGAGTTTTGGAGGTTTTGTGTTTTTACACAAAAATCCCTAGACCAATCAGAGTTAGACATTAACACCATTGCATGCAGGCCCAGTGGTCCGATGGTTAGGCGTTCGCGCACAATACCGAAGGTCCAGTGTTCGAATCCTGCGAGGTGTACGAGTCATGGATGCACACTGCTGATAAATCCCATACCAAGACGAAACGGCCATCCAGTGCTTGTGGGTTTATAATGGTGGTCTAACAATGAGTTGTTTATTTTGTCCTGGTATGGAACTCATCAGCAGTGAGTGCGCATGTATGACTCCTGTTACTCATAAGACTGGAACCTAGGATCTCCGATCTTTCGCTCGAATGTCTAACGTCTAGACCAGTAAGCCAACATCCAACGATGTGAATATCTAACTCTGATCAATCTTAAGATTTCGCTCAAACTCACCCCATTTGTTTTCATCAGTTATAGCCTACACCTGAACAGAGTTGTTGATATTTAAAAGATTTTTTTTTTCATACTAAAAATTGAGTCCATTGAAAATGTGGAATTTTTTTCAAAAACACTTTTACTTTTGTCTTCTACACACGCACAAACACCACTTCCAGAGAAATACATATGCACACACACACACACAACTATCTATTGACACGTTGTTCATAGTTTTCAAAAATGTTGTTGTACCATACCATAACACCACATTGATTCAATTCATTCCAAATAACCCGTATTTTAGATTATCATATGATCATAGTCATTATTATTATGATGATTATTATGATTATCATATTTTTCCAGTTTTTTTTTCGCAAACACAGAAAAGAATTCTTCAGTTTTGTCGACACGTGTTTGTTGAATATGATTATTATTATTATGAATAGTTTGAAAGTGGATCTTATTTAACACCTGCAAATAAAAAAAAACACACACCCTAAACTAAGGATGACACCCACGCACGTACACGCACACACACACGCGCATAGTGTTTTGTCTTTTTTGAACTGCGTGTAAATTTTAACTCTCCAACTATGTAGACAGTAAATTTCTTATCAGTTTGTAATGAAGTTCACATTATTTTTGACAAATTTTATAAGAGAAGAAGAAGAGAGAACATCTTCACTTAAACAAAATGGTTCGATTAGATTTTTTTTTTGAAGCGAAAAACTATTTCCAAACCAACACCAACCAGTATATATATATCAATTTTGATCAATAGAACAAGTTTTTAACAATAGAGTATTATGAAGATGGTGATTTTAGTTTGATATTATAAATGAATCATTGTTAGACCAATTAGTAGAAATCTGGAAGCACTGTATAGCCGTTTCGTCCTAGTATAGGCTTCATCAGCACTGCGCATTCACGACACCTGCTACTCACAGGATTTGAACCTGAGACCTTCTGTCTTTCGTGCGAATGCTTACCCTGTGAACCGCAGAGCTGGCATCCAAGTGGTGTTAATGTCTAACTATGAATCCCATAACAGGATGAAAAGGTCATCCAGTTCCTTCAGGTTTCTAATGCTAGTCTAACAATGATTCTTCACATATGATTTCATCGTACAACAAGTTTTGTCATAATATTTGATCACATGAATTGTAGAAAACCATGATGGTTAACATTTGAATCTGTTTATTAAAAAAGAAACAGAAAAAAAACTAGGATACTGTGGCGCGAGCTACTTATAAGTAGTATATGACGCGAGTGTCAACGTAATGTCTGGCAGCAGAAGATGGGGGAAGATCAAGAAAGGAAGAGTTAGAACACAATGGGATTGGAATGAAACGCATGAACAGTGAAATGTCAGACAATGGATTGATGTTTTGCAACAGGAACAGTCCAGTTCGATATGATGGACTGATATTTTGCAAATGAACGATTTACGATATGGTTTTCCAATTTTACTGAGTAACTTTGTAATTTTCGTTAAATAAAATTCGGTCGCCCCACCTGTGTTTTCGTTCACTACAATACTACTTATTTTACATTCTATAAATAAGACATTTCAAATATTTCATAGATAACATCCTCAAATTGTGAAGCTGAATGACATGAGTTCCAACCCAAGTATGCCTTACCGCTGAATACCTTGAACATGAAAAAAATTTGATTCCCTTTGTTGACTACTCTTACTATCAACTATGTAACATTTCAACACCACACACTGGTGGTCGTCATACACCAAAATTGATTGGTTGAATTCAATTAGCGCTCAAGGATTAAATGGACACAATATTGATCACCATTTCAATGTTCAATCAATTTGAAATGATACAGTGAAACAAAAATCAATTGAAACTTGAATAATAACGCCTTTACAGAAGATGATCAAGAAGTTGCCTCCGGAACTTTTAGCAAGCACTAACTGGTATAAAATCTCACTTTTCCACCCGCAAATATACACAAACGTTGACTAAGAGATTTTCTCTTTTTTTTATTCTTTAAATGAAGTGCCAAATTGTTTTTGTTTTACTAAGTACTCGTGTAGTGAGCGGAGAACACAGGTGAGGGCAACCGAAATGTATTTAACGAAAATTACAGAGTTACTCAGTAAAATAGGAAAACCATATCGTAAATCGTTCATTTGCAAAATATCAGTTCATCATATCGAACTGGACTGTCTGTTCCTGTTGCACAACATCTAATCCATTGTCTGATATTTCACTGTTCATGTGTTTCATACAAATTCCATTGTGTTCCCGCTTTTCGTTTCCTGATCTTCCCCCATCTTCTGCTACCAGACATTACGTTGACACTCACGTCATATACTACTTATAAGTAGCTAGCGCCACACCCGGAGATATCTAACTGTCTGGTCGCAGTTATTCCTAACAGATATTTATATTTCTACTTTATTTAACAAAAAAAATACTTTAGTGTCAAAAATATGTACTTTTAGAATGTATATTAAACTCTGACCCAAAATGGTGATTGAAATCAATGACTAACACAATTATTGAACATTTAACCGATTCTAGTATTGTGGTGCGCGCTACTTATAAGTAGTATATGACGCGAGTGTAAACGTAATATCTGGCAGCAGAAGATGGGGGAAGGTCAAGAAAGGAAGAGTGGGAACACAATGGAATTTGTATGAAACGCATGAACAGTGAAATGTCAATGACAATGGATTGATGTTTTGCAACAGGAACAGTCCAGTTCGATATGATGGACTGATATTTTGCAAATACAATGAACATGCTATGCATTCCAGGCTTCTCATATTACTTTCCTTTACAGATAGCCACGTCTGATGCAACGATCCATTGCATACTACTTATATATAAACCAGTTTGTGAGTAGTATCCACCCATATCTGTTGATCATCTGTTGACATTAGAATGTGCATTGAAAATGTCCGAATTCAAAACAAAAACAAATTGAATTAGAAACTTGTTTATTGATTGATTGATTGATTGATAAGGAAGTTTTGATCATGAATACATACAATTTTTTTTATTTTTTACTAATCTGTTCTGTTCACTATTTGTTTCTACCCCCCCCCACCAATTTTTTGGTTTAGATTACTCAATTGAAAATTGATAATAATCCATTTGCTAAAGGATTTCGAGATAATGGTAGTGGACGTCGTGAAAAGAAGTAAGTTGATTTTGTCTTTCTTTCCCCGCTATGATGTAATTTTCGGGCAGAGTTTTGGAGGTTTGCGTTTACACACATTTGAAATCATCAACAAATCATTGTTAGACCATCATTAGAAACCTGGAAGCACTGGATGACCGTCAAGTCCTGGTATGGGACTCATCAGTGGCAGTATACATCCAAGACTCCTGCTCCTTGCAGGATTCGAACACGGGACCTTCGTTATTGTAGGCGAACACCTAACCATCGAATCACTGGGCCGGCATCCAACGGTGTTAATGTTCACCTCTGATTGATCTACGGATTTTGCGCCACCCCACCCATTTGTCTTTGGTAGGTGACTGACTACACCCGACACGGTTGAACTCCATTGGTCACGTCTTCTCAACTAGAACTGCGAGAATTTCTTCACGAAACTAGCTAGTCACTAGTGAGCACTGTTACGATATTTTGGTGCAGAGTTTTGGAGGTTTGTGTTTTTACACATTTGAAATTATCAATCAATCATTGTTGGATCAGCATTAGAAACCTCATGGATGCGCACTATGACTGATGAGACCCATACCAGGACGAAACGGCCATCCAGTGCTTGTGGGTTTCTAATGGTGGTCTAACAATGATTGATTGATGATTTCAAATATGATCTAATTATTTCTCTGACGCCTGTTACCTTTAATGCAACATAAGCCACCGGTCGGCGAATTGTTTTTTTCTGGTTAGCGTGTTATTAACGAATTGGATTTCTCTAGGATGGAGTTGTCAACACTATGTCCAATCCTCTCTCGGGCTTAGGACCGGTAGTAACCCCAACAGGGGCTTCAAGCGGAGTTATGAATTTAAAAACCTCCGGTACAAAACTATGACCAATGAATTTCGATGATTTCAAAAGGTAACCATTTACTGTTGGGGATGTTAGATCCCAAGAACTCGCTTGATAAATATCTTTATTTTGATTTTATTCATACACTGATCAATTGACCTTGAGATTACATTTCCCACCAGAAAGATCCTTGGCTGTGATTGGTTATTGTGTCATTTTAGTGTGCTTTTTTTGTGACTGTCCCAAGGACATCTCTATAGAGTATAAATAAACGCAATTTGTGTGCTTGTTGGGTGTTTGTAGAATACACTTTCTACGCTATATCAAGACTTCTTGCTGGTACAATTTGGTCAATCGGATCATAGTAGCCTATCTAGACACTGGTTCATTGTCTCGTTCTCGTTTATCGACTAATGTGAACCAGTGATAGTTTTTTAAGCATACCTAGAGATGAGCATAACATATCCATTGTCAACTCACTTCTTATCTAAGCGTCCCAAGTCCTTCATATAGTTCTAAAGAAAAAAATCATTGACAAATCTGTGGGAAAACAATAGTGTCATTACTTGTTAAAATGAAATAACTCTTAATAATAGAAACGCCCTTGATTATGAAAAATTTCAGCAAATCAAAGGTGTATTGCTTCCGCACATTCTATTATCTTCTCCACCCACCATCTTAATTAAACATATTTTAATTATTTATTTATTTGTTTAAAACAGGCGCGAATTATGGTGATTATGTTTAAAGCTTGAAAATTGAACATATAACACTTAGATTTTTTGTGTTTTTATTAAGTTATTATTATTAATATTATTATTATTATTAAAACAAGGCTACAATGAAAATAACTTGTAAAACACAATGAATGAGCATTGTATTATATTCTTCTTATAGAGATATTCAATACACATTGAATAACAAAATAATAATAATTTATTGAACATTGAACTAATTATTATTGTGATTGTTAACTTGATAAATTTAAACAAATAAATTATTGATAATTTTATATATACATTAAGGATTAATCTTAATTAAATATTTTGAAAAGTAAGTATTGAACAGATGTGTCTTTTGTTAGTTTATTCCATCCAATATGGGATACTTTTAAAAGTGAACATTGATCATCTGCAAAGAATGCAGCATGTGACCTTGAAGTTCACCCATGATTACTAAAAAAACTTTACAAAATTGAAAGATTATCTGATTAGTATTAATCTATGATGTCATTTAGGAAGATTCAATAGTTTTCACAGATCTTAATTTACTGATAGTGTGATCATATGCTTACCAGTAATTAGATTTGAAAGAAAATTTCTATGGTTCTAGTTGAGTAAGCATGACCAATTTTTGATGTAAACTTTGTAGATTTAACAATTATAGGGTACTGGACGGCCGTTTCGTCCTGGTATGGGACTCATCAGTGGCAGTGCGCACCCACGACTCATGCACCCCGCAGGATCCGAACCCAGGACCTTCGGTATTGTGCGCGAACGCCCTAACAGTTAGACCACTGAGCCGGTATCTAACGGTGTCAATGTCTAACTTGATCAAATTCACGGGGTTGCGCAAGCTCATACCCTGTATACATCCGAACAGGTTTGAACTTCACTGGTCATGACTTCCCACTAGAACTCATGGGAGAAGATTCCTCACCAAGCTAGTCACTAGGGGCGGTTAGGGCGTTCGCGCACAATACCGAAGGTCCTGGGTTCGGATCCTGCGGGGTGCATGAGTCGTGGGTGCGCACTGCCACTGATGAGTCCCATACCAGGACGAAACGGCCGTCCAGTACACTAAAATTGTTAAATTTACAAAGTTTACATCAAAAATTGGTCATGCTTACTCAACTAGAACTATAGAAATTTTCTTTCAAATCTAATTACTAATAAGCATATGATCACACTATCAGTAAATTAAGATCTGTGAAAACTATTGAATCTTACATACCAGGACGAAACGGCCGTCCAGTGCTTCCAGGTTTCTAATGGTTGTCTAACATTGATCGATTCATGGTTACAAATAAAACTTAACAATCTTCACAACAACCCCGGAATGCAATTATAGGGTAGTGGAGATTGCTGAGTTACTTAAAAGTCATGTATTGATCAGTGTTAAATCACCGTTAGAAACCTAGAAGTACTGGATAGGCGATTCGTTTTGGTATGATACTGATCAAGTAAGTGCAAGTACGTGACTTGTGTTACTTGCAGGAATCGAACTCAGGGCCTTCTGTGCAAACGTTTGACCTCTAGACCACTGAGTCGGTATCTCATGATGTTAGTGTCTAAGTTCGATCAATACACGGTCTTGTGCAACATTGTCCACCGTTTTCAGTGAGCAATGCTTCACATATGAACAGGGTTGAACTCCATCGATTAACATTTCTTACTAGAACTCTGAGAACCTTCCTCATGGAGCTAGTTACTAGTGAGCACATGGTAATTTGCATTCTAAGGTTGTGGTGATTTTTGACCGAAAGTCCTAGGTTCAAATCCTGTGAGTAACAAGAGTCTCAGATTTGCACTTCTGACAAGTCCCATACCAAGACGAAATGGCCGTCCATTAGTTACAGGTTTTTAATGATTGTCTAACATTGATCGATTCTTGATTTCAAATTATATTCTACACAACAATTCATTATATAGCCATAGATATAAGTTGTTAAATGGTCAGCTATTTACTACTGTCTATTTAGCAGTGAAAGGATATCGATAGGTAATATAGAGCAGATTTTTCATGAAACAAAATAGACCATTACAAAAATTACCTGTTAGAAAACAGTTAGTAATTGTACTTCATCTTACTTGAAACTTCTTGTTTGGACATACCTGTACCGCATTTGTTGAAATTTACACTGAGAATCTTTCACTTCAAATCAGAATCCAACTAATTCTTGCCATTGATATGAATATCGTTTGTAAAAGCTTTGCAAATGATCAATCAATATGTGTCATTGTATTGTGGATCTTTGACGAATCGCTTTAAAAATTGTCATTCAGATACAATTTTGTAATAAAATGAAATAGTTGTCCCGACTTCATCCAATATGTTTCACTTATTCCAAATACCACCAGATTGTATGTCTACAGCGATTTAAATGATTCTTTGGGTTCTACCACAACGTACGTACATCCTATGTACCACCTATGTTAACGGTCGCTCTGGTTATCAGTCTTGTGACTTCTACAAAAACACAGCTTTCCTCAAGTAACGTCCTTTCAATTTCTACGGGAAGAGTTTCAATAGTTTAAAATTATTTTTTTTCTGGTTAGCAATTTTTTATCAACTTGGTTTTCACCTGAATGGGGTCACCCCAACCCCAAATAGCTAACCTCCCTCCCTTGTCCGAGCTTGGTACTAACAGTAACTCTAGAAATGGCTCCAGAAAGCATCGTATTGTAAATAACACAATGTTTTCTTTAATATCGATTTTTTAAAATAAATATTCCTAATTAATCATTTTATTTAAATTTTATTTTTCTATTTTATTTTCATAGAAGTTTACGATTACGTTATAAACAATCAATCAATCCGATGGATACTTGTCAAAATTTAAATCATTTACAAAATGATCTATTGAAAAAATATTCCATTCAGTTAAACGAACCATATGATCATCATGTTCAATGTTCAATTTCCAATTCAATCTATCATTCATCATGTACTACAACAAATCGATTGTTACATCACAATAACAATACTACTAATGAATTCAATGTCAAATGTTCATCATCATCCTCGTTATCATCATCATCAACCTCTTCATGTTGTTCTTCGACTAGCAGCTATTCAACATCTATTCACATGACATCTTCATCAATGACGTCAACAACAAATCCATTGTTGTTCAATGGATTGCCTACCAAATCATTATCGTTTTATGGAACAGATCAATTGTCATCATATTCAATACAGAATTTAAATAATTGTAATAATAATAGTAATAAATCAACTGACTCACCACCACCACTATTATCATCATACACATCATCAGTATCATCAGTTCATAATTTGTCGATCGATAAATTATCTGCTACAAAAGATCATTTCACAACTTCTCTGTCATCATCATCATCATCATCGTCATCCTCATTAACTTATCCTCTTTGGTCAGGTAAGTAGAGTTCATGTTTTGAGAGAGTAGGTTATATTTTTTTGGAAGAATCTTACTTACTTACTTACTTACTTGCTTACGCCTGTTATCCTAAATGGAGCGTAGGCTGCTGACCAGCAGTATTCTCCAACCTACTCTGTCCCTTGGGCCTCTCTATACAGTTCTGTCCAAATGTTGTTCATTCTTCTCATGTCTGTCTCCATTTCTCGACGTAATGTGTTTCTTGGCCTTCCTCTTTTCCTTTGACCTTGAGAGTTCCACTACTACTACTACTACTACTACTACTACTACTACTACTACTACTACTACTACTACTACTACTACTACTACTACTACTACTACTACTACTACTACTACTACTACTACTACTACTATCCACACTACTGCTGCTGCTACTAGTACTACTAATAGAACCACTACTACTATAACTACCACTAATAATCATATTAATAATATCCATTAGAAAAAGAGAGAAAATAATTAATTCCTGCTTATTTCATTTCAACAGGATGTTTTAATCCAACACTCATGTCAACAACCAATTCATCACGAAGTCAACATACTGTACATTATTGTCCAAATGTATGCAAATCATCTCCATCCTTGTGCTCGTCATCTTCCTCTTCCTCCTCCACCTCCTCCACTTGCTCCTCATCATCAATTGAAAATTCTTTGAATAAAATACAACTTAATCAGTCAAATGAATTTCAGAGACCACCACCACCACCAGCACCACAATCACAGCAACAACAACAAAAGCTTGATCATTCATTTTTATCAAAGCCCACTGTATCATCCAGTTTAGCATCATCTTCACTAGTAACCACCACAACAACAACACCATCAGCAATGAAATCAAGTCAATCATTATCGTGTTCCCCATTCACATCATCTGTTTTAATGAATACAATGAGTAAATTAACGAAAGAAGATATAACAACAGTAGATTGTCAACTATTCTCAGATAATTTTTTGAAACGTAAATACGATGAAATGCATCGATTCGATTGTTGTCAAGAGGATAAAGATTTAAATTCATTAAAATTATGCTGTTCAGTAAGTTGATATTTTTTTGGATAAAAATAGAGGTCTATAGGTTAAGCTTTTTTTTATGCGCAACCGAAATTCCTAGGTTCAGTTCCCAAATGTGTGAATGTGCCGTCTCATACTAGGATGTAACAAATATCTAGTTCTTTCAAGTGTTTTCAATGGTAGCCTAGCTAGAATCAATCAGTTATTTGAAATTATACTCCTCGGGATTCGAACTCAGGCCCTTTGGTCTTGCACGCCAACGCCTAACCTAACCTCTGAACCACTGAATTGACACTGAACAGTGTTAATATCTAACTCTGATCAATCTAGTGATTTTACGAGTTGGTTTTCTAGAGGATAGGGTTCACTAACCCTATGCTCAGCTCTTTCCCTTTATCTGGGCTTGGGATTAGCAATAACCCCATAGTGTGGCTCCAGGAGGAGTTAGTCACTCACAAATAATAATGATAGGCAATATATACGCAGAAACATAAAAATCTTAATGAATTAATATCAGAAATCAAATATAATCGCGTAATACATTTTAAACAAGCTATCAGGTTAAAATATAACACATTTGATATCACCAATCAATCATTTTTAGACCACCATTAGAAACCCACAAGCACTAGACAGCCGTTAAGTCCTGGTATAGGACTCATCAGCAGTGCCCATCCACGACTCCTGATGCACCTCACAGGATTTGAGCCCGGGACCTTCGGTATTGTACGCTAACCATTGGACCATTGGGCCGCCATCCAATGATGTTAATGTCTAACTCTGATTGATCTAGGGATTTCGCGCCACCTCACCCATTTGTCTTTGGTAGGTGACTGACCACACCCGACAGGGTTGAACTCCATTGGTCACGTCTTCTATATATATATATATATATATATATATATATATATATATATATATATATATATATATATATATATATATATATATATATATATATAGATCACCGTTGAAAACCTGAACACACTGGATAGCCGTTTCGTCCTTATGTGGGATTCATCATTGCATTCGGTCTCATGCACAAAAACGCCTGACCTCTGAACAGTGATTGATTTATGATTTCAGTGAAACTCAACAATCTCTGCAACCCTTTAATGACAATTAATATGATCTCACTGGTGACTAACTTCTTGGTGTTCTATTGAGAAGTCGCGACCAATGGAGTTCAAAACTGTTGGATGTGAGGCAGTCACCCACTGAAGACAATGGATGAAGTCGTACAGTAACGTGGGTTGACTGAAGTCAGACAATATTTACTATCGGATGTCAGCTCACTGGTCTAGTGGTTAAGCGTGAGATTAAACGTCAAAGGTTTGATTGCCGTATGCAAGGTCATGGATGCTCACCATACTAAGAATAAACTATCATCCAAGTTTCTAATGGTTGTCTAACATTGATCAATTCATAATCATAATGAAACGCAGTTTTACTTAAAATTTACTCATTTACTCGTTTTATATTGCATTGCGGGGTTATTGTGAAGAGTGTTAAGTTTTATTTGTAACCATGAATCGATCAATCTTAGACAACCATTAGAAACCTGAAAGCACTGAAAGACGGCCGTCAAGTCCTGGTATGGGACTCATGAGTGGCAGTGAGCATCCTCGACCCGTGCACCCCGCAGGATTCGCACCCGGGACCTTCGGTATTGTGCGCGAATGCCCTAACCGTTAGACCACTGAGCCGGTGGTATCTAATGGTGTTATTGTCTAACTTGATTAGATTCACGGAGTTGCGCAACCTCATACCCTGTATACATCCGAACAGATTTGAACTTCACTGGTCACGACTTCTCACTAGAACTCATGGGAGAAGATTCCTCACCAAGCTAGTCACTAGTGAACACATGTAATGATTGCATTGCGGGGTTGATGTGAAAATTGTTTTGTAATAATAATAATAATAATAATAATAATAATAATAATAATAATAATACTCATTTGTTCACTTAATGTTATAATTTTTTTTAAAAAAAAATCTAATTTTAGCCAATCAAAAAACAATGTTTCCAAAAAACTATTTCAATGAATGAATTTAAACAAACCAATGAAAGCTGTAAATTTACTGATCATAAACATTTAAACAATCACAGTCACAGTAATAATAATCATAATCAATATCCTAACAGTGATGAAATATCAAATCAATTCATGCATAAAACCGAACAAACTTATCATAAACATGATGAATTCAATGTTTCAATAGGTGATCAATGTTCAACATCATCATCAGTCAATGCATCTTATTCAAATGTCAATGAAGTGATCAATGCATCAACAACATCATCATCATCCCCATCATCTCAATCATCTACAACCAATTCATTCTCACTGATTCATTCATCAAAACGAAGTTTCAGCATAAGTTGTTTATTAGAATGAAAACGAAACAGAATTGAACACGGCATTTTATTTTATATTTTATAATTATACTACTTATTTAATTTATAGTCTTTATACTGATATGAGATGAGATGAATTGGAATTGTATATAATGTATATATAGAATGAATGATAGATACAATGACATATATAGATAGATAGATAGATAGACAGACATACATAGACATGAGAAGAGTCCATTTCATTATTTGAATTCATGATGATTTATATTCATTCAATGGTTCAATATTTCATATCACTCACAGACACAGACAAACAAACACACACACACACAATAATGACAATAATTTCTCTAATTAAAAAAAAAGAGGGAAATTGCTCCAATTCAAAAAATGTATATAAAAAGAAATTCATTCGCGATGAGGATTACATTGATGAGAAATTTTTTTTAAAAAAAATAACCACAACCAAGATTGACAATAAATAAAACAAATAAATGACCAAAAAAAATGATATGATATAATTAATTTTAATTATTTGCATCAACAGTTTATTTCTTGTTCGTTTATTTGTCTGTTCTGTACTTTCAGTTTCGTTTTCGGAAAAAGAAAACTATACTTTTTGCCTTAAATACATGCACACACAGACACACCGATTCACATCACACATCATCACCTAATTGTAACGTATGTTTAACAAGTTTGATTGATCATTGAACACACGATTGTTTTTGGCATCAAAAAATGGACGCGCTTATTTGATTGTGCTTTTTTTGTGTGTGGTTTTGCTTATTTCAAAAAAAAATTTCCTCTAGTCTATCTATTTACTTACTTACCTACTGTAACTCCTCTCTTATCAATTTGTTTTACTTCATTGGCCATGATATATTTCGATATATATATATATATTTTTCTTAAAATTCTGCATAATACTCATGTTTTACTACTGTAATCGTTATAATAGTAGTAGTAGTAGTAGTAGTAATAGTAATCGTAACAGCGATAGTATTAATAATAGTGATATGATTTAAACAAGCGCTGTTTTTTTGTTTTCGACAAATATTGATGAAGTAAAACAAACCGAGGCACAGAAGAAGAAGTGAAAGACATTCGTACTTGTTTCTTTTTTTTTCGTTGCTGTTGTTGTTGTCATCGTCATCATCAACATCATCAACATCATCGCCATCGTATTGCAGATCTCTTCTCTTTTTTCTTTGTATATCTTTTGTGAAGTTGATAATAATAATATTTAATTTTAAATTAGGCAAACAGTACAACAACATGGAAGATAAATAACTAATTGATCGATTAAAACAAATTCAGTCACTACTAACTATATCTTATTGTTATTATTATGGTTATTTGTATCATTACTCTATTATTACTATTATTACTACTGTTATCATTATGTTAAATTCAGTAGTATATAAATACATACATACATATTATTATTATTTATTCAATGAATTTTATTTTTATTGTTCATTGTTATTTTAAAATAAATAACAAATAAATATATAATCTGATTATGAATTGTTTTAATTGTTTTAATTTATTGTTAAAAAAAATATGAAACATTGAATAGTGCTTAGTGATTCAATGTTCAATAGAGAAGGAAAGTTTCTATCATCAGTTATTTAGAATTAAATAAACAAATCAAGTAAACAAATCTATTTTGTTGTTGTGTGGTGCGAGCTACTTATAAGTAGTATATGACGTGAGTGTCAACGTAATGTCTGGCAGCAGAAGATGGGGGAAGATCGAAAAAGGAAGAGTGGGAACACAATGGAATTTGTATGAAACGCATGAATAGTGACAATGGATTGATGTTGTTTGCAACAGGAACAGTCCAGTTCGATATGACGAACTGATATTTTGCAAATTAACGATTTACGATATAGTTTTCCGATTTTACTGAGTAATGCTGTAATTTTCGTTAAATACAACTCGGTCGCCCCACCTGTGTTCTCCTTCACTACAGTTGGAGTTGATCTACATGAAACTGTTGAATTAAAATTTTATACCAATCAGCAATCATCAACAAGGTGTACGTACAATCTTATGGGATGTGACACTTCCCGTTGTAGGACGTTAAGAAACAGACTAGTTGTTGTGTTGTAATTTGCATCTTGTAGAGAACTGTGACTCTGATAAAACTGTACCAATCAGTCTGTGAAGTGTGAAATTGTCGACTCCCATACAACAAGCTCAGCGAATTCTTCCCTCCTACTGTCAACACAATCAGCGCATCTGCGTCCTATAGCTTCAGTGTATAGTGCATATAAGTAAGTGTAAAGTCATTTCGAGTAATGATCACACGCTGCAAGTTAGTTAGTCGACAGAATTCAATCGACACTATATTTCTAAATAAACAACGTTTGTCGCTATTCAATAAAATTGATCAATTATAGAGAGAGAGAGAGGTATCATGTCTTAGTTTGACACACTTCCACGAAATTCATCTATCACTATCCTTCACTTCTCGTCAAGAGTAAACATTGATTAACACGGTATAACTTAACTGTAGTGATCTTTTAAAAGAGATATTTTCATCTTGTACTCTCATTTTAGTTAACTACATACAATAAAGTTTTTCTCTAGTTTAGTGGCCTGTAATTTGACTCTAATTCGGATGAAGAGTAGAGTATGCAATGAAATAAATCCTCCTTTCGATTGATGAACTCCGCTTATGCGATATTGGAAACAAGCATCCAAATACGGTTTTGCTAGTGAATTAATTTCATGCATTCATTCAGGCAGACGGATGAGAAAAGTGTACAGGCAAAACGACGTGAAATGGAGAAAGCAAGTTATCCAACTCAAATGCACTGAAGCATGACTAAGTATTTATACACATTTGAAATCATTAATCAATCATTGTTAAAACACCATTAGAAACCTGGGAGCACTGAAGGACCACCGTTTCGTCCTAGCATGGGACTATTCATCAGCAGTGCGCATCCATGACTCCTGCACCTCATAGGATTCGAACCCGGGACCTTCGGTATTGTGCGCGAAAGCCGAACCATCGGACCACTGGGCAGGCCGGCATTCAACGGTGTTAATGTGTAACTCTGATTGATCTACGGATTTTGGGCCACCTCACCCATTAGCCTTTGGTAGTTACTGCCTAAAAAAACACAAACCTCCAAAACTCTGCCCCAAAATAACGTAAAAGTGCTCACTAGTGACTAGATTCGTGAGGAAATTCTCGGAGTTCTAGTTGAGAAGACATTGTGACCAATGGAGTTCAACCTTGTCTGGTGTAGGCAGTAACTACCAAAGACTAATGAGTGAGGTCGAGCAAAATCCCTAGATCAATCAGAGTTAGACATTAACACCATTGGATGCCGGCCCAGTGGTCCGATGGTAAGGCGTTCGCGCACAATACCGAAGGTCCCAGGTTCGAATCCTGCGAGGAGCAGGAGTCGTGGATGCGCACTGTTGAGGATTCCCATACCAGGACGAAACGGCCGTCTTTCAGTGCTTCCAGGTTTCTAATGGTGATCTAACAATGATTGATTGATGATTTTAAATGTGTTAAAAACACAAACCTCCAAAACTCTGCCCCAAATTAAGTATTTATAGTCAAACAAGACTTGTATTAAGCGAAGTAAGTATGTACACATACATGCGCACATTCAAATTTTAAATAGTCGATATTCTTATCGAATTTTTTCAACAACTAATCATAAAAACTAACGTATGTTAGGTGTTATATATTAGGTTTCTATCTAACTGGTCACTATGGATGGTTAGTTGAGTTCGCTAAAGAAAACTCTTCGGACATAATAATAATAATTATAATAATAATAATAATAATAATAATAATAATGGAGATTTGGTTTGAAGTCTTTCAATGAAATATGGCTTCAAAAGCATCAAATGACGCAATAAACGTAGGAAATGTAAAATTATGTTCATCGATAGCAAAACGCATCATTGAAACGGTGCATCAGTTTGATATCAAGACAGTCTTCAAGGTCGAATTCTGAAGTTTGTGGAAGCCATGACTATTCGTCTCCCCTTATGCGTACAGAAATAATTTGTTATAACCCCGGTAATCTTTAAGCCATTTCATAGTTTATAATACAATGTTAATTGATCAAGTTAGATATTAAAACCGTTAGATACTGGCTCAGTGGTCCGGTGGTTAGGCTTTCGTGTACAGTACCGAAGGTCCTGGGTTCGAATCCTGCCGGGTGCAGGAGTCGTGGATGTGAACTGCTGATGAGTAGTCCCATACCAGGACTTGACGGCCGTCTAGTGGTTGTGGGTTTCTAATGGTTGTCTAACATTGATCGATTCATGGTTTCAAAAATGTGTAGTTTTCTCTCTCCTTCATTGACAATTATGACCTACTGTTTATTTGAACTTTTATTGAACTGACCTTTTATTTAATTTTCATGTAAAAAGAGCCTTGACAAGTGTCTGTGCATGTGTGACTAGATTGTTGGAAATGTGTGCATGCACATGTACATCCCAACATATTCACATCAATTACATTGTTCTCATTGTTCTCTATCTGTATTTCATGAAATTCAATTTATTAATTATTATTATAAACGTTTTCCTGATTTCTAGGTTCTTATTACATTTAGCATTGTATAAATACAAGTACTCATGAATGAAATGTCAGGTTTAAAGGTACTAACTTTTGCCTATAACATAGAATAAATATATATTTATTTACTTACTTACTTACTTTCGCCTGTCATCCCCAATGGAGCATAGGCCGCCCACCAGTTTTCTCCAACCAACTCTGTCCTGGGCTTCCGTTTCTAGTTCTTTCCAGTTTTTGTTCATTCTTCTAATGACTTTCTCTATTTCTCGGCGTAATGTGTTCCTCGGCCTTCCTCTTTTCCTTTCGCCTTGAGGGTTTGTCTTGTGACGCAGTTCGGTGCATTTCGTAATGCGAATCCTATTTACTTCCAGCGCTTCTCCCTGATTTACTCCTACATTGGAATTTGGTTTGTTCTCTCCCACAGAAGGTTGTTGATGATGGTGTCTGGCCAACGAATTCGAAGTATCATGCGTAGACAACTGTTAAGGGATACTTG